ACACATAATAATTAATGAAGACTATGATATCCATCATTGTAATACTGAACACACTGAAAAATAGTTAACAATGAAAAAGTATGAACCACAAGGAACAGAATGAAAATATTTTAGTCACAAAAAACTTGTGCTTTAGCACTTATTTTCAAAAGCAAGAATTAGAGGAACAGTGTAATGAAACTTTGCAAAATACTGATACAAGTATATCATGCTCCTCTCCACTAAAGCCATAGAATTATATAATGACAGGGTCATAAACTTAGAGATAGAAGGTATTTTAGAAATTAACAACTCCAACGCCTTTTCCCTTTTAGAGATGAGGAAACTGATGAGAAAAGATAAGTGACTTATCCAGAGGCATAAACTAGTAAAAGTGTGAGGCAGAATTTGAACTCAGGTCTTCCTGTCTCCACGTCCACTGTGCTATCTACTAGGTCATTTGGCTTTCAACTCTACAATCTCATTGTGAAATCACTAAATGACATAATATTTGTAAAGTGCTTAGCACCATACCCAGCACATATGTGCTTAATAAATGCTTGTTTGCTCTCCTTTCCCATTATAACATTGGGTTCCCAAATGCTATGCCAAAAGCACACAACTTCTGGGAGGTTATACCAAGAAAGAAAGACTTTAAGAGCAGAGTTGGCTAAGGACTATGTCTAAGCACAAGACTAGCTAATTTTGGAGAGATCTGTTTCCAGAAGGTATGGCTACAAATGTATTTGAGTTTGTCGGCCACAAGAACTCAGAAAAGTCTCTACTGATGAGTTATAATCTGTATTGTTGGAGAGTGTCCCCACAAAATTAAAATCATGGATCTTTGAAATATTTTGCTTAATATAATAAATAATGTAATAGATATAATTACATAATAGATAATATAATAGATCCTATAAAGTTACACACCTAAATGGAAACACATTTTATGTGTACCAGTGGTTTACCTAAATTAATCTTTCACTGAAAACAGTGAATCTTTTGAAATTAATCATGTGACATTTTTCCAAAGTCGATTTTTATTTACTGAGTTTACTTGAAAGAGTACAAGCTACACTATAAACTCCAACCTAGGAACAGCTATTCTCATTCAATTCAACAATAAGGATTTAGTAAGTGCTCATAATGTGCAAAGTGTTAAGAATAAAAAGAAAAAATGAAGATCAGCTACTTATACCTGAAGGAATTTACATTCTGCTTATAAATGTTTTTATAATTACATGACACAAGTGAAAACACACCCACTTAGTTGTAGCAGCTCTGGCTCTTACAGATGAACCCTTGTCTTCCCCCAACCTCCTCAAAATTACATGCATTCCACAAATTTCCTACCTTTCAACCACATACTGTACAAATAATTCTAAATTAATTTTAGATATTATCCATACAATTACATATGCAAATGGATACAATATGAATATAAACAGAAAAGGGGGAAGTGGAAAAAAAAAAACCCTAGGACCACAGTATAAAAAAAGCTTGGTAGAATCAGAATATGAATGTGAATAACACTTTTCTTTCTAAAATTAAGAGATTTTGTTGACATATTGCTCTTATTTATATGCTACCCTTCATATACATTTGTAAATTTCTTTAAAATCAAGTTTGTCAATCACAGATTACACAGTTTCATACTATGCAAAAATGAGTACATTACCTGAAAAAAATTAAGGTAATAAAAGGCTTTTTAAATTTTATAAATATTAATGTCCTAAATTTAGGTCATATTTTTTTCTTTTCTATGAGGATTTAGATTTATACTATAATAAATGAGATGCTTCTTTACCATCAGTTTTCAAAGGAAGAGAGCATACAAAAGTGCAACACATCATAATGAGCTGGTATGTGGGTGTAGAGTAGATCTGAAATTAGTTTGTTCAGCTGATTTCATAATTGGATGCCACGTCCTACTCCTAACAGAGCACCAAAGGTGAAAAGATTGAAATATAAACCTCTAATTAAGCAATGGTTTGACAGATCCAATGTCCTATATTTGCTCGACACTATGGTCCAACAGGCATTTTCAACTAAAAATTAATACTGCATATAGCACTCATCTTAGGAATAAGTAAAATCTGATGTTTAGAAAAATAAAATCTTGAAGTCCACAGAAAAGTCCTATCCCTCCATTACAATTCTGCATATACTTTTTAACTATTCAAAGAATATCAATTTGTTATGTTAACAAAAAAAAAAAAAGGTTTCTGTGAATTCTTCATCCAACATCAGGATTACTGTCATTTGGTCATAACATGAGTGCAACTAACACAGCTGCCATGTCAGCTTCTCTTCAGGGGCAAGTTCTTAATCATAAATCAACTGAATGACTAATTCAACATTGTTAAAACTGTTGAGTAGATGCTTGGAGCCATTCCAGTTTTTACATCTTACAGAAAGGTCAATACACCTACTCAAATACACAATAGTCTTATCTTTCAAAGGGTTTTCTTCTTTTCTAGGATTGAAAAATAACATGTTACTACTTAAATTTAAGTATGTTTTAACTATTAATTAAAATGTTCATTAATTCTCAAATGGTGACCCACTAAAACAAAAATAGTTTTAGCTTTTTTCATGTGACTACAATCAGAAAACCTTTCCCTCTTTTCTTGCCCGCTTTAAATACTTTTCTAGTTGTAAAAGACCTATGAAAACATTTACTGCTGACTGTTTCCTGCACTAACCTTAATCTGTTACAGTAACATCACATATTACTTTAAAAACAAAACTTTTTTGCTAGTAGAGCAACTAGTGCAAATGGGACTGAGATGTAGAACATGAACCAAAAACTCTCAACACAAATTAAAAGGCATCTAGTAGTAAAATATATTCTAATCATTTACATCTGTTTGCACTGCTATAAAAGATGGAAACCCACCGTTAGTATCCTTCATAATAAAAATTGATTCTGCACTTTAATAAAAAAGCTATGTTGCATAAACAGAGGATTTAAAGCTGTGGCAGAGTGTCTGAATGAAAGGAAAATGGCAATCTTTCTGGCTCCAGTAGATGCCATTCCCTATCACACAATGTTTCCCACTCATAAATACATGACAAATACTTCCTCAATCATTTTTTACGAGCAGGGATGCACAGGGGGTAGTCAATGGCTAGCTTGAGGGAAAATAGGAACAGCAGGCGGCAGAAACTGTACAGAAAATGGCTATGTGGTAAATTCTCTTCTGGAACATCACTCAGTTACCCGTCTTTGATCTTTCAGCTACAATTACAATAAAGTCCACAAGACCTGATTTTTTTTTTTAAACTAGTTCATTAGCTACACACAAAATCAATTAATCTTTGTATTATGGGACTGCCCGATTCATATCTCCAAATTCTTAAAAATTAAAAATTTGTAATTTATACAAAAGGTCTACTTTCAATTGGCTATAACCATGTCATCATCACAACTGGCATCACAAAAAACACGGGGTGTCTGGCGACAGCTAAATCACAGACTGGCGTCTCCCAAGCAGTCTGTCTACCATTAGGGTCTGGGAAATGGTATTTACTGTACAATTAGAGCCAGTGAGTTCTACCTGTAATCATCCAAATACAGGTGTGAGGAGCCCTTTTGGGCAAGGAAACTGACTCATCCTTTTTCCTGTAAACTTTGATGTCTGTATTGTTACACTGAGCCTCAGGAAAACTCAACATTTACACTGAAACTAAGGTGCTAAGATTTATTGCATTCAAGTCAAATAATAAATTAAAATTCTTTCCCAAAAGTATCAATTTGACATATTAATCATCATATTTACAAGGTTACAAAACAAGACAGAACTGATTTTTTTTTCTTGCAATCACATTATCTCATGGAAAAAAACAGACTGCTGATCATTTTCAACAAACTTTCTATTTTAAGTTTGCATTTCCTAAACTCTTACCAATAGAGAAGTTCATTCTGACATTAGAAAATACAAAATGTCTAAGAGTAATATCAACAGGGCAGTTTTAGTTGCAGTAATTTCACAGAATTTATTCTAATGATTTATTGGAGTTAACCATCTGACATTAATTATTGTTTTGGCTTCCAGTCTATGAATGTTTATTTTTCAGTTTAAAGCCTTCTCACTCTTTGATATCATATGGAAATGAGAATTTTTAATGGAAAATTGAAACCATGTGCATCTAAGTACTTAATGAAGTACAGGGAGAAACAGAGGGCGTATTTTTGGAGAATTCAGATATTTTGCTTTGGATAGTTTTGATTTGTTTGGATGACTTAATAGTAGAAAGTACTGTGGGTCCAATGAAGCAAGTCAATCTCTGTACGATGCAAATATGTACGTGTGCATGCATGCAGATACATGCATATATATAACTTTTCAAAGTGAGTGCATGAATCAAACATTGCTAATTCCGATAAATCAAAAATGGCAGATTATAGATGTAATAGCTGAGCAAGATATATACATGGATTCCTTGGAGTTTTTTAAGGCCTAAGTTTTGTATTTTAGTATTTAATGTTTATACACAATTTCATAATTCAAAAAATTAATATTTGACATTACAAATGTCATATTTACACAAATTTGGACATACAATTGTACAATATGTACATATAAAAGGTATCAAATTACCAACTTTAAAAAAACATATGTGTATTTGTGTGTATATGTGGGTATGTACATATATAATCTGACTTTTCAAAGAGCAAACCAAGTAAGAATACTTAAAATTGAAGGGGAATGCGTGGGATTTAATTGGAGGGAAAGAGGGAAAGTATATGAATGTTTTTATAAGTCATGATATCAAGAAGAAGACACAGCTTTAAAGAACAATTTATATTGCTATAAATTAACAGCAGGCCTCCAAATGAAAAGCTAAACCCAACTTTTCACATGAGCATTTTTAACTTGGTTAAAATGAGCAAGAAAAAATTTAAAACATATTTAACAAAAAGAAAATGTATATATCAACATATATGAAATGAATGTAAAAAAGGTTTCTGCTATGTGTATCTATTAAATCAAGGTGGGGGAGGGGAAGCCACTCACCATTTGTTTTTTTTTCTAATGTAGTCCTTTTCTGAAAGGTTAACCAAGTAGATCATTGGTTTTGAAGTCAGAAACAAGTGTTTATTCAACACTTCAATCTAAAATACAGGCACAGAGATAGAATTCTTTAAAAAATATATATAATATTTGTATACCAACTCATTTTAAAGTAAACTTTAATTTGCCATTTTTATTTCTAAAATGTTACAAATATCATTAAACATCTTTAAAAAAAAAATCAACCTGGAAATGGTATTCTGTGCTAGAAGTAAAGTCTACATGAATGTTATAATCACTGTAAAATAGCAGTTACTCCCTCAAAACCATGAAAAAAAAGAAGAAGAAGAAAAAAAGCTACTAACATGAGGCATGACATTTCTTGCTTACCTCTTTGTCATTCCAATCATGATAGAAGCGTACAGGTTTCTTTTCATCTATAACCCAAGTTTTTATTTTGCACATTATGTCCTACACAGGATTAAGAAGAAGAAGAAATCAATTAAAGATAAATATATACTTAGCTCAAATAAGGAACAAGTATATAATTTTGATGCTAAAGATATGCATTTTTTAACCCTTAAGACAAAAATAATTCTGTTGTTCTATAAGATGAACAAAATGCCAAAGAATAATTGCATCTAAAAACACTGAATATTAGTAAAACACACTTGTTTTTAAAGAAATATACTGAAATTATTTTATCACCAAAAAACTGGTAAGGATTTTAAAATCAATACATTTCAACTACATTTTAGAGTAAATAAAAGAGTAATATTTCACCATCAGTGAGTGAGCCCAAATCCAAGATAAACATACAATTAAGAAGGGGAGGGGAGAGGTAGAAGAAATTAAATTACATTTTTTTCCTTTTAAAAAACTGTAGAAGACATCAAGCCTATTATGGACAATCCATCCTTTAAAAAATTAATTTAACTGACCCAAACTCCCTTTTATTCTGAATTAATTTTTTGCCAGCACCTTCTCCTCCTCCCTACCCCCCTCGCCAAAAAAAGTGAAACCTGCCAAAGCCTCCATTACACAATGGCAAGAGCCTTGCACTGGTGACCTCCAACCAGCTGCATTCACTTTCAGAACATCTCTCTCTGCTGGAAATCTAAAGGCCTTTTAGTTAGCAAGCTAGTGTGCATTCAGAAGGAGTAACTGCAGGAAGAGCCCAATGTGCTTTGTTTCTCTGGCCTTTCTTCACAGAAAGATTAATCATCTGTGAAATGGAAACGGCAAACAGCAAGTGACACAAACTGAACCCTTCAAGCCTTTCCTCATCAGTTTTGTGGTTCTGAATCTAAAAGCTGCGTGTGGCAAGGTTCTCCTTACAGGCAGGTGTTAATAAAAGGCTCTTGGGTCTGAAAGGTCAAACTTGGCTCTTCCAGAAGTAGTGCATTTGAGAGTCATCTGTTTTTTGTTAAAGATAATTTATGGGTAATGCTTTAAATAATGTACTCAGAGAACTTATTGTAATAATCAATTAATTATTTTAAAATAATCAGTTTCTTAGATTTTCATCAATGTATTTACTTGGCCAAATGTCATTTATTTCTATAAACATCCACTTGTATAAATTACCTCAATATTTAGTATACCTTCCTTCCAAATCTTGCTGTTTCAGAAGGGAAAAAAATAAGGAAAAAGCCCTACATCCTTACATCCTGATTTGAAACCCTCCAGGAATAGGACTCCCCACAGATTTTAACAAGGAAGGGGCAAGCTGAAAACTTTTAATGAAATCTAACATATTCTGCCTAAGAATAATCACTTTTACTCTTCTATAACTGAATTTCACTCATAAATGTTTAAAAGTGGCTAATGTAACACCATTTCCTACAAGGAGAAGATCAAAGTGCTATATTACAAATGCATTATGATTAAAAAAGCACTGTGCAGCCTTGCTATTAACTGTTCTTTAAACCCTAAAAGGCTTCCCATAGATCTCACTTGGCACTGCATATACAACCTTTGACAAGTAATGTAGACCATTTTTATTCATTGCCTAAAATTGTAGGCAATTATGTGCGTCACACTGGCCACCTGCAAATTCTGAATGCCTGCTCCAGTTGTCAGTGCAAAAAACTAATGTCGGAGGGGATTAATCTAGGGGGAGAGAGTCCTCTTTAATGGCTCCAGCAGGTGAAATGGCCCAGCTGGTTACTATGATGAGTGGCCAGAACAGTTTATGTAGAGACATGCAACAAGATCATACAAAAAAGGAGAGAAAAATTAGTACCATCTTATATTTGGCCCTATTAGTTTTACAATTAAAAGTGAAAAAAAATTTTTTAATGAAGCCAAAAATAAATAAGGAAAAGGAACCAACTTCACTCATATAAAGTGTGAATTAAAGAGGGCTGTTTGCAAGTGTGGCATTATCTTAAACCAGTAGGTCCTCACCAAATTCTGATAACTTGTGAAGGAATTTTGACTGCATCAATTTTTTGATTTTTAAAAAGAATTTTGGCATTACTTAAAAACTTTGTCACAAAAGCTTTTTGACATTCAAGTCTTCCTCTAGTACAATATATTATATCACAAATTAGAGACAATGGAATGCCAGCTAAAGGCAAAGAACAGAATTATATATAATTAGAATTCTTTCAATAAAATATTTTCCATAAAACCAAATTCAAGCCTTTTGGGGCCAATTACCAAATTATAGCTAAGTTTCTGGACTTGCCTCAGAGTTGATACTGTGTGTATTTTTTTAAATATGAAATAGCTTATTTTTTTTGCTAAAAGCAATCCAATTCTCCTCTTAATAGTCACAAAGATCCAAGTACATTTACTGAAGGTCCTTAGCTAGTTTTGGTATAAAAAGCCAATTTATCTAAATTTTCTTCAGAAGATAAGCATCTGTTACTCTGGACAAACACATGCATCTCAACATAATTAGTTATCTTACTGCTTGAAACTGAAACTTAAAATATTACACAAAATTGTATGCATCAAGGTAACTCAGAGCTCGGGGAGGGAAGTATAAGCTTTGGCAAGTTATAAAAAGGTGAAAAGGCTGAGTATGATCTAGGGAAAGACTGAATCTGTGGTCCAAAGAGAAACCAACTGAGTTAGGTATGGATAGGCTTGCCATGAGTGGCTTGGCCACTGGATAATGAATTCTTGGACAATGGCAACAGATAAAAAAAAATAAAAATATAAGATTGCTAAAATATTTTTCTTTCCACAGACACAAAAATAGAAAGGAAAACCAAAAATTTAGAAGGTAACTTTTTCATCCTGAGAAATTTTATGAATCATACAGAAATCTAATAATTCAATAAACATCTAATTAATCACCTAGTGTGTAAATCCTGTAATACGAAGATAAGTCAAAGTTCCCTGCTTTTGTGGAACTTGCAGTCTCAATAAAACAGAAAACTACAATACACATTAACATATTTAGATAAGTTCATTAAACAGGAACAAAAGAAAGTTCTGTGTGAAATATGAAGGGGAAATTTGTTACAATGGGAAGGAAATGAAGGAAATGTTTCATGGAGAAAAGTTGCGTTTGAGTTAAGAACAAGTGAAAAAGCATAGAGTATTTGGAGAGAATAATTCAGTTTACAACAGAGAGTAATATGAGATATAGCTGGAAAGGTAGAACATTAGCCATAAACTTTAATTGAAATTTAATTTGAAAAAAAAAATTCAATCAGAGACATGATCTTATATACAGATAATGAAGATTAGTATGGGAGTCAAGAAAGTGGAGCTAGAAAGATGTGTTTAAGGAGAGGAGGGTAACAGTCCTGGGCAGTGTTAAGAAGTGCCTATACTAATATAGTGACAAGTGAGGAGTGAATAAATATTGAGAGAGATATTGCTGGTATTTCTTTTACTGAAAATTCTTGATTAACTGAAAACTATTTGGATCACAATTTCAAAATGTAATTATGAAATAGTTAATACAATAACTATATCAAACAATTTAATTTAAAAAAATTCAGATGGACCTGCAGTGCCTTGGGAACAGCATCAATTATCATTGCATAGTTCTACAGTCTAAGAAGGGGTAGAACTGTACCTGGAAGTTTGGGAACAAGAAAATTTAAACCCAATTCTATCCATTTAAGATAGCAACTAAACCTAAAAAGTCATGAAAATAATCAAGTGTCTTGACACCTAGTCTAGTACTCTTTCCACATCAATAAATTGCCTCCCAATTAGAGGTAGTTAGATGGCACAGTGTACAGAATGCTAGACCTGGAGGCAGGAAGACCTGAGTTCAAATCCAACTTCACACACTTTCTAGCGGTGTGACCATGGGCAAATCACTTAACCTTTGTCTGCCTCAATTTTCTCTACAGTAAAATGAGGACAATAATAATAATAATAATAACAACAGCTACCTTTCAAAATTGTTGCGAGCATAAAATGAGGTAATATTTGCAAAGTGCTTAGTACAGTGTCTAGCATACCCGAAAGTGCAAAGTAAATGCTTATTCTCCAACTGGGTTGAATTTGTACCAAGTCTATAAAACATCAAAGCTGCCCTTTTTTCCTTAAGTAAATCAATTTATACGTGTGCATTTGTCTTCTGTTTCTTTCTCATAAAAACAAAGTATAGAGGGAAAATTGATTTGGATTCTAGATAAATGAAAATTGACTAATTAGCCAATGGCTAATCTCAACACATCCTGCAATCTCATCAGGTCTGTTTGCTGCCATTTAAGCCTAACTTCATCTTTACCATTCTGGATGAACTCTCAAATGTTTTCATATTCTCTTTACATGCTGGAAATTGTCTTCGGTACCCACCGACCAATCACATTTCTATCCTTACCTTTCTATAGGAACTATCCCTCCTATTGTCTGAAGAGATCAACTTTTAACAACAAAAGAAACATAATTCAAATATATCTCAATATTTGTGATAGTTTGGCTATACCTCAACAGCTCTTCCAGTTACATTTCCCTTAAGCATACCCTATATTCAAATATGTAACTACAAATCTTTACAACTATTGTTTAGTCTTTCTGTCACTCTGCCTGATATTCACTGACAGTTTTTGTAGTCTTCACCCATATTCCCAATGCCTGAGTATACATTTTCATGTGTATTTTCTGTGCTCCCAATCTTTTTCTGGCCATTCAATGAAAATTTTATTAATATAATAATGTTACACTTATTAATAGTGTCACTAAAGGGATACAATGGAAAGCACCTGATCTGGGCTTCCGGTTCTACTACCCATATATCCCTGAGCAAGTCATTATCTCTCTATGGGTTACAGTTTCCTTATCTGTAAAATGAGGAGGTTAGACTACTAGATGATTTTTAAAGGTTTCTTTCAGCTTTAAATCCTTTGATCTAAGGACAACTAAGGAAAAAAAAGAAAGAAAAGAAAAAGGACAAGTTTAATCACCTTTAGTTTACGAGGGATTACTACTTATCTATTCATGATCTCTTGCTCTATGGTTTTCTGATACAAAACACCCAGGTGTAAGATTGCCCA